AGCTTCGGCGCCATATGGCCCCGATTTGCGTTTTCAATGGAAATCGCTGTGAACTAAATTGCAGAGATAAGCTGACGTGTTTTTTGCATGCATAACATTCACCGTTTTCGCTGCAGACTTGGGGCGTGCCAAGGGCGCTAGGATTGGCACGGCGTCACTCCATTCTCCACCAACTGTTGAAGCGGACAAACGACAACAAGTGATCGGAAAGGCAGGTGCCAAACCAAGCTCCCTGACAGGCTCCAGCGCCTGCAAGAGGCGACCATGCTTTAGTGCTAGCTCTACTTGTCATCTAACTGGTAGCGTGCCAGTTTGGCACCACCACTTTATCACTGAAACCTTTGTAATATTTTCATTGGAGATAGCCAAGAACCTTGTTCTCGAATATGCAATCAATTTTCGGTGCTAGAGCTAAAATAAGCGCTGTGCTGGGGGTATCGGGTGCAATGACAGACTGCGTTTGAGCAAAAACAAATCAAAATTTTGGGGTTTGTATTAGCTCAACAGTGCCTTTGTCCGTAGTGAAACCAACTGTCAAATTTTGCAGACGTCGCGTTGCGATTGTTACCGTATCGTCTTTATCAAAGGGTGGCAAGAGGCGTGGCGGCGATGGCCGCCTACTTTCGGGCTGATTTTTTTCTCTATCTTCCCTTATACATAGCTCCCTGCCTCGTCTTCATTTAGACCATTGCCGCTAAAGAAACCACGCCCCCTGTCCCTTTGCCGATATAGACGGTATACTTCCTAACCAGTATCAGAAATGACTTCAATAATGAGGTTCCTCTTGTGGGGACCGTTGCGCGACTGGGTCCGAGTGATCACTCGAGCCGGGAAATAGGGCCAAGCCCCTCGAAACTGAGTGGATCATACCGATTCGCCACAATGCTCGGATAGTATGTAGCGAGGTTCTCGTCCACTCTTCGTTCTGATTCTTTGACGAATTCATCGACCAGTCTATAGGCTCGAATTGAAGCTGCACCTTGTATGGATTCCTGAACGAGAATTGATTTAGCAAACGTAGACAAGAAAAGAGAACGAGCTCAAGAGACGAACTTGAAAATGGGAATAGATGGGGGACCTTGACGCTGATTCAAGGCGTTTCAGTTGCCGTGAAGTGCTCACGTAGAACCGCTAAAAACATAGCACATTAAGAATCTGTACTTCAAGACATGGGAAATGTAAGGCTTGGCAGACCTCAGCAACGCGTGAAGAGCGCAATCATAAGCTCGCGTACGGTAGGTTCTACACACAGCTTGTCCCTCCTGTTGACTAAGGGGAGCAGTTTCAAATCAGAGAAATCCATTGTTCTGGTCTCTGTTCTATGGAACCGTAGGGTACCGGCAGGCCCCATTGTGATCCCTGACATGACGCGTCTGCAAAGCGCGTCTGGTCCTCGAAAAGTTCCGAAAAGCTCTCGGTTTTTGGAGCGCTTATGGAAATTGTGCAAGGCCTTTTCGGGGGTACGTTCTCTTACGGTTGTTGAGCGTTCCCAGCTGCCAGCTTGGATTTCACCGATCGCATGTATGCCCTTCCACTCCGAACTTAAAGACACATTCCGCGGTCGTAGCGGAACTTGGTCCTGTCACTGCATCACATTTACTGGTCAACCCTACCTTTAAAAAAATCGGGAACGGGCACGATAAAAAGAACATTGGTAGGTTCACTCCGCCCACATGACCGGCGCGGAATGCACGTTCAACGAAGTACGTTGATGTCGAGTCATTTCTCTGAGACCAGCCATTAAGGGCCCCCCATGGATAGCTCATCGTACAGAGGTTGTGGGGAACTTGCTTATAACTACACTAAAAGGGTTGGAATTAGTTTATCCCTTGCAGTAAGGTTTCGTCATCAAATGCGACCAGGTTCCACAGCGAAAACAGCCGATGACATTGCGATCAGTCGGGGCGGTGCCAAGAGGGGCTGAATCGGGCCGCCTCCTATGTCCTGCTCTACCAGTGGTGATCGTATTAAGAAGGAAAACAACCAGT